GGGCTCAAGGGTTTGGGCTCAAAGGGCAGGGGGCTTGGGGCTTCTGCCCCTTGGGGTGGGTGGTGACTTGGGGCTTCAGCCTTGTGGGGTGGCTTGTGCTGGGGCTTCAGCGTCACAGGGCGCTGAGTCTCAGGGCTTCAGCCCCACTGCTTCAGCCCTGGGGGACACCAGGGCTTGGTGCTTCAGCCCCAAGGAGCTACTTCTGCTGGTGCTCAGGGCTTTGGGCAGCTTCTGCCGGGGCTAAGGGCGCTGGAGCTCAGGGATTCAGCCCTGTGGGGTGTCTGGGCTCAGGGCTTCTGCCCCCCCAGAGTGCTGGGGCGCAGGACTCCAAGATTTGGGCACCAGGGCTCAGAGCAGCCCTGCTTGGCAGATTCCCCTGAAATTCCCCTGTGGACCTCCAGTTGAGAATCACTGGTTTAACACATTGCACCTTGCATCACTACACCTTCTTTAACACAGAGTTCATAGTCAACTTCCACCTGATCACTTGTAGACAGTTGACATTTTGCAAGGGAATCCTTTCACAGTCCTGTTGACACAGGAATGGCCAGATCGGTGCAGACCAGTGACTAAAATAGCTTTGCTTCCCATGTGCAAGGGAAATTCCCACCTGGATAATCTGTCTGTTTCAAAGCCACTTTGTGCCATGTATACATGGCATAAGTGGCTGAAGCAAACCAAAGAAACTGGCACTGAATATCATTTGCCTGTGTGCTGAACAGTCATTTAGCTTTATTAGGCCTCTCTGAAGTTTCTATCATCTGCTAGATTTCCCACCTTTCTATTCATACCCTTTCCCAAATCATTAGTAAATGTATTAAACAATGTGGGCTAAGTAGCAAACCTTGGAGACCACCTCCCATACATATACATTTAAAATTTTTGCCATGTTGAAAATTCAATGTCTGTTCCTATTCTGTTTTGTCTCTTACCCATTTCCATTAAAGGAAAAAAACTTCCTAAAATAGAGTTGCATGCATACACACACACACACGCATATCCCATAAAAACAAAGCACTCTCCCCTAAGCAAGGAATGAAAACCTAGATTATTGACAACTCACTCATTGGTATTCTTGATAGCCTTGAAGATAAAGACATAACTGTATATGATGGCAATCAGAGGAATGAAGAAGACAAAGCAGAAGAGGAGCATTGTATAGGCACGGACTGATGGGGTAAAGGTCACGTAGTCCCAGGAACAGGAAGTCAACAAACCCTCCGGAACATAAGCACCTAGGAAGAGAAAGAAAAAAAAAGACATAAGCCATGAAAAGATTTTTATTGGACATTCTGGTGGAGGAGCAAGTGGAGAAAGAATTCAGCATATCCCTGGGATTTGAAAAGGATCAAACCTGGCTCTGTTGGTAGAGAGAAGATGGTTAATAAGGGCATCTGTTTCTTGTTTTAAAGCACTTCTTGCCATTACTGATTCCACTGCCTTATAGGCTCTTAGAATTTAATAGATCTAATGAATCACTCTTTAGACTAATAAAATAATGATTCTTTTTCATTCCAGCCTTCAGACCTGATCCAAAGCCTACTTTAGTCAATGGGCCTCTTTCCATTAACTTCATCAGGCTTTGGGTCACACCAATGTTTCAAATATCTTTAAAATGTCTCAATTTTTCTCTTAAATTATCACCTCTCTTGCTCGGGAGTGAAACGAAACTGACTACGCTAACCTCTGCTCTTTTAAATTCTGCAGACAACAGAAGTTTACTGTGCAATTCCAATTAATTTTGCCATGAAATAAATGTAAAACACACACACACACACACTCCTACCTGAAATAAGAAATATTCTCCTTAGAGAAACTATGTCAGACAGTTAAAGAATAAAACAACTCAGCACCAAACTATTTTTAATCATTAATTTAATTTCCAGCATTTTCATTGCTAGCTTCTCTGGAACCAGGTCTAGAAAATATTACACCAGGTTCTATGCTCAGATATGTCTAATTATTGTATGAGATTCAGTATGATGGATACTATTAGAATCTAATTATAAGACAGCAGTTATAATACCCTTCAATAAATTATTCTGCCTCATCACATTAAGGTTCTTTCATCTAAGAGTATTTGTCATATTGCTCTCTTGAAATTCTCTCATTAAGCTAGGAGCCATAATGTTAAAAAGCTGGAATTTACCAGCTATGCATGCTACACATTTGGGGGAAGAAAGAAATTAACAACAAAAATAACACAATAATATCTGACCCCGTTGCAACAGCTTGATAGGCAAGTGAGAACGTACTACTCAATTTAACCCTACCTCGCCACTCCAATGGGGAGCAGGCCTGCTCCAGGGGTGGGTAATGTTGGAGCTTAGGCGATTAACTGGTAGGTTCAAGTTCATCCTACTGTAGGTTAATGCTGACTGTAAGTTGGTGGCCTGAGTAAGGTATAGTAAGGCCTGAGTAAGGTATAG